CCTTTTCCTCTTCTTATTCTTCTTCTTCTTCTTCTTCTTTTTCTTCTTCCTTTAATATGAGTATCTACAGGCCTGCAAAGTTGTCCACGCTATGCATCAGATGTAAAATTACCCGATATCGTTTGTCAGATAGGTACTCGGTTTAAGTCTGATTGATTTCTGCTTGTACCGCTGGGGTGAGGTGGCTGGGAATCTTTGGTCAACTGATTTGTTGTCGAAGTGAGTACGAACTTAGCAAAATGCATTCCTCCGCGGGGTCTTTCGTTACTGCGGTCTTACCGCCGTTCTTTAGGACTACTATGACTGTAGAAGCTGTAGCTCAAGAGGTTTATAACTGCCAGCATAAGTCTATCACTAACACTAGGTGTAGACGATGTTACTTATTGGCAAATAATGCAGAAGAACGGATTACTCACTTGCATTGCCTCGACGATCCCTACGACACACTGTTCTTAGGTTGGTCCCTTCTCGTGACTGCTGTGTTTGGAAATCGATTTACGATGTTTATGACCATGCCTCATGCTAGTTCACGAGTATGCCACGAGTGGGATGAACACCAAATCGAAACCATGGTTTTCTTGCTTTTAGTTACTACCACCTGGAGGAGACGACTGCGGACGCCGTGAACCGCTACCTGTCGGAGGTTGTGTCCGGGGCGGTGAACAGCCTGATCGAGAACAGTTGCGTTGAACAGGACCCTGAAGATCCGCTGGTCCTCATTCCTACATCAGCTGGTCGTCTGGCCTCTTTCTACTACCTTTCGCACAAGACCATTGGTCTTTTCACTTCCGCAATCACAGCTGGTACCACGATAGCGGAACTGCTGTACATTGTGTCGGTAAGTCCCACGTCCCCCGGTCTATCAAGCACTGCGGACGAAGCCAAGAGTCAGCTTCGTTTAGTCATCCAGGTCGGATGTGGTTTGGTAGCTTCGCCTGAAGTAAACAAACCCCAGCCATTTGTAATACGAGGCCGCTGCTTGTAGGGGTTTTTACAGGTGGGGCCGGGGAACGCACAAGCGGCGAGGTCGCGTAGTTTTATTCAAAAGAAAAGCTATTGAAAATGCGCGGTTGTACTTTGAATGGGTGAGAAATATTTGCGCTAACCCCTAACCCTAAAGCCGAAGTCTAAGCCCTGACCTCGAACCTTACCCCCTGATCTTATCCCCTAACCATAACTCCTAGCCTTAACTCGTAACCCTAACCGTTAACCCTAACCCCAACAGCTTTGTGTCCATCAAGTTGGGCTTCCAAACCACATCTTACCGTCATCCACATTGCCGGATTCTTGATTTTGCACATAAATCCAGTCGAAGTGTAAAAACGGTCTGCTAGCTTCCGTTCAAGTGCGGTTGAGAGCGGAGCTCGTTCATTCCCACCATAAGCTTAGTACGCAGTTGAATAAATAGCCCCTCCCCGTCTACTGCATTACCTTGAAAGTTTTCGTCACATACTTCAGGTAAACAGCACCACACATTGCCATTTTAATTTAGCCTGTCAGTCCCTTACAGGCCCACTGAGCTTGTGCTATTGAGTAGTATTCGGAAAATGAATGTGACCTGTCACAACCTTTGACCTTAAATCAGCCTGATTCGGTTCCCAAATAAGCCAGAAGCCAGCAGGATTTCTAGTGCGACCGTTGAAAGTAGCGCGGTCCAAGAGTTGGGCTCGGCTATTGCGTCTAGCTGACACACTCTTCATCAGAAGGCAACCTTAGACGGCCGAAGTTGGACATGGACACAGTGAGTGAGAAAGCTTGACAGGTCGTCTACGCTAGCCACACACGTCCGCACATACTGGCGGATGGTCAAATCTCGCGCGGCTGATACTTCCGGACAGACCATATAAGGGAGCAGCCATTGTGGCCACAATTGCCGGCACATGGAAATAATTTGAACGCGCGCCGGGTTGTTTTTAATGAGGGGGGGGGGCGCTGGGTCTGATCTGGATTAACTCTACTCTCGCATTGGTCCGCTGTTCTTGCTAGTCAAGCCGTTTAGAAGTGTTTTTAGACGCAGTGAATCTCACTGTCTATCGACTGGTGGGTGCTGCCCCAAACGGGCCAGGTGGTAGATGCGCTGGACCAACGGTGAACCATATTGAATTCTGGCAGACGTTGTCGGATTGCGCACTATAATAAATGCCAACATTTAGGGGTGCGGTGGCAGACGCAGTAGCTAGCCGAATTGCACTCAGGGATCCCTGTCGCCCTCTCATTGCTGTTGTTGGAAAAAACCTAGTCATTTGCTGTGTGGACAAGGGGGTGTGGAGTGGAGCACCGAGGTACGGGCTCGACCGTGCCATCCACCTGCGCCCTCCTCCGCCTCCGGTCTTCTTGACTATGTCTTGACACCGAATGCAGGTGGGGTAAGAGGAGGGAGTGCGGTAGATGCTATGCAAGTCTATCGCTATAGGCTAATTCACGCACAACTCACCGTCCCTGCTTCACCCTGCTGTGGAGCACGCGGTGAACATCGTCGAAAAGGAAGGTTCAATCGCCTTATCGCCTTCGATCTCAGAATAGGCTGAATTGCCACGAAAAAGAACACATGATGTTGTCCGAGTCGAGTCTTTTTATATATACCCGATGATATTTTTCTATAGTCAATCAGCCTAGTCTTGCACACTGCATACTTCATAGGTTGTTGGTGTGGGGCACGCAAGCTGTCACTTGCTGGCGGCTTTATTATTATGGTTATTATTAGTATCATCGGAGCGCTTATGTCTTGTTTACCCTTCCAACCAGCCGGTCTTTGGGACAGGGGGAGTGCAAACATTCGTCCTGACTGATGCGTGTATATAGCATAGAAGTGGATAGTCAACTGTCCTTTGTCCTCATATGTTAGGGTGGGTTTTCGAAAGTAGGGAGATGATATAAGAGACCAGTTAGTTATTTCTCAAACCGTGTACGATTGAGGTGGTTCAGAAGTTGAGTAGAGCTGGGTCCAAACCAGCCGTCCCATATTTTACCCGTAAACTCTTGTCTACTATATGAGAGCTTTTAACGACCGTCTTCGTGATAGCATATGCTAACGTGCATGTCTACGTAAAATTAGGTAGGAGCCTTTACCTGTCTGAGGCTGTGTCCGATGCGCTAAATAGTCTGTTCGAGAACGGCTGGTCGCCTGGCCTCTTTCTGTCCTCCTTTGCACTGTTTACCTTACCTCCACACCCACAGCGGACACCATGATAGACGGACTTCTGTAAATTATTTCGGTAAGTTCCGCGTCCTCCAGCCTACTATGCACTGCGAATGAATCCGAGAGTTCGTTCATTTAGTCATTGACATAACCCATTTCTTGGTTTTGCACATAAATCTTATCGACCGGGAGACTTGGGCAGTCGGTCGGTGCACTTGGGAGGGCGAGAAACGAGGTGGGTAGTTCGATACGTCTGAACACAGAGAGCTAGGTTGAAATGTCTTCTTAATGTGTTTTTCATGGCATTCTCACTGATGTGTCCTGCAAGTCCAGTCGTTTGGTTTTGTCACCCCGCGCCTACCTCCGGTCATGCTGACCTCGTCTTGCCATCGGGGCCAGAGGAAGAAGGGAAAGTACAGCAGGCGCTGGGCAAGTCTGCTACTGTTCGATAGTGGGACTTCTGTACGTTTTGTCGGCAAGTTCCACGTCCCCCTGCCTACCAAACACTGCGGATAAATCCGTAAGTTCCTCCACTTGAGCCAGTAACTTAGCAGGATTATTGGCTTTTCACATACATCCAATCGACTGAGAGACTCGGACAGTCGGCTGGTGCACTTTTGATGGCGGAGAATGAGGTGGGTAGTTGGATACGTCTGAGCACCGAAAGCCAGGTTGTAGTGTCTTGATAGCGTCCTCACTGATGTGTACTGCGAGCGCAGGCGTTTGGCTTTATCAGCCAATGTGTCCGAGCCTACCTCCTGTCAGGTGGGGAAAGGAAAGCGCGACAGGCGCCGGGCAAGTCTGCCACCACCATAAACTGATTCACTCCACGGGACACGGAGTGAGTGCCATCTATAGCGCCAACCGAACGGGTCGTCGTAAGGTTGCATATTATTTCAATGTCTGAATGTCTGTCTTTGTTGTATTAGCCTGCGATCTATAACACTGACTTGGCTTCCCCCCATTTTGTAGTTGGCTGAAGAGTTTGCCCTCCTTCCAGTGCGCCACTTGGAGGACGAGACCAATGCTATACTGGCCAGGGAGATGCCTTTGCCGGTGAAGGGCGCACCAGAGTCTCCGCACACCAAGGCCCACATCCTGCTACAGGCTTACCTCTCTCGACGGACGCTGGAATTGCCGGTTTCCGACTATGTGACTGACACCAAATCTGTGTTGGATCAGGCGCCTCGAGTCCTGCAGGTACATTGCCGATTCCTTCGTTTTCTGTAGTGTATCGATTGAGCACTGCTCAGTAAGGACTAGGTTCTGCTTAGTGCGCCTATTGTTAAGTTTGCCGGAGTGCGGCTGGCTACAAATAGCATATCGGCAAGTCTGAAATATCACTCGTCTAGATCTTCCCCGACTTTCCCGTTTTGCATCGCCGAAACTAGTGAGGGAGAGGTTTACATGACATAAAAATAGTCGAAAGGGACGAATGTGTGTTGGTTGGTAGTGCCAAAAGCATAGCTTTTATGTCCTGCGACGGTTGGATCGTGTTCTATGCGGGCATTCTGCCGACACCAGGATATAAGATTGGCAGCCTTCCCTGTCCTAGGCTTTGACCTGCAGGGAACTAACACAAGGCAAAGTTTTCATAGACGCAGTATCTCTAGCTGCTGTACTTCTAAGTTGTACTGTTCTGATAAAACAGAACCACTCATATCCCACTTTCCTGCAGCGGGTCATAGCTCACACTGAATGTGCCCCTCCTGCTTGTGCGTTAGGAAGTTAGGCTTGCAATTTCACCAGAAAAGTTGTCAGCAGACCGCTCTCGGGTATTTTCCTGCCAGTTTCGCAAAGCAGAGCTACTAGGCATACTTCAAACTGTTAACAAAAAACCGGTCATCAGAAGCGTTGATGAACACGTGGCTACAGGTATGCCAGGCCCAAATGAACTCTTGAGTGAGTGTCGAAGACTGTACTGACGACTACGGTAACGTTTGTCCGATCAGAGTGGTACGTCTGTCATCTGCATGCACAAAGTGGTCGAATCGCCGGGTGTCGACCTTCCTACGGATGCACTTCCTACCATCGATGATAGTCAAGCTGCACCCTTCAATTTTCCCTCCAATGCACAAATTTAACTTCCCAAGACTCTTTCACCTGACAATGAGACCGGATATATAAAAGGCCGAAGTCTCGTTTCATTTACATAATCTGGGGATCCAATGTGAGTACACTTGTCCTTTCCCGCACCAGAAACACTTTCGTATGGTATTGCACAAGAAGTGAGAACCGTTATTTATGCATCCGTCCAATCAGTGTCTTTTTTCTACATAAGGCCGCCATTGACTACTGCGCCGAAAACGGATGGCTGGTGTCTACCCTGCACGCTATTCTTCTGACCCAGATGATCTCTCAAGCTCTCTGGCTGGAGGACAGTTCGCTCCTCCAGTTACCTGGAATCAATTCCAGCCACCTGGCCGCCTTCGTGTAAGTCGACCCTACAATTTCTTTATATATGTAGGTGACGTGGTACCAATAAAGACAAGGGAGACCGGGATGGCCATTTCGGACTTGTTAGTTCTCATCAGACAGCCAGATCCAACTTCAGGTGTTTATCATTTGAAATGCGCACTCTGGATCCATAAGAATTGAGTGTGACGCTACCACTGAGTCGCGGCCCGTTGTCCTATCGGTTTTGACTAGCAATATGAATAATAGTACCTTGTGCCTTGGGACTTGTGCCTTGTAGGCAGTCGCACAACGAGTATTAATACACTCAAAAGAGGACTACTGACAAAGGCGTCTCCTACCATAGTTACTATACCCGATTTCAACCGACAGGACAGCGAATCCGTGGCTCAGTGGTTAGTTGCGTTGGACTTCTAACCAACTGGTCGCCTGATTGAGCCCCAGGTGTTCCACACCTGACTGGCTGACGACGGCTTATAAGCCAGAAATGGCCATTCCAGTCTCCCTTGTCTTTGTCTGTAATACCATTCTGCCAATATCTTGCGCCGCTCTGTGTGGCTGCTGGTTGGGCTCGAGAGAGAGAGCCCGTAAGGCACAACGGAACGAGTGAGGTCCGTAAGAACGGTCGATTAGCGCCCCCTACCGTTATATATGTATATATGAATTTAAAGTGGTTATATGTATATATAGGCAGCATGTTATTGCCGACAGAGACAAGGTAGACTGGAATGGCTATTTCTGGCTTATCGGCCGTCGTCAGCCAGCCATACCCAACCCCGAAGTGTGGAACACCCGAGGTTCGAACTCGCAACCTGTTAGTTAGAAGTCCATGCCTCTAACCACTGGGCCACGAGCCCGTTGCCCTGTCGGTTTCGATCGGGAATATACAATGTTAGGGGGCGCTCGCCGATCGTTCGTACGGAACTCACTCGTTCCGTTGTGCCTTACGGGCTCTCTCTTGAGCCCAACCAGCAGTCGCAGAGCGGCGCATGATATAGGCAGCATGTTATTACCGACAGAGACAAGGGAGACTGGAATGGCCATTCCATAGTCACTCCGGGTCCAGAATGACTAAGGTTGTTTAGGCTGCTTACACTTCCTTCTTGAGAAATTTAATTCTTTACTCTTTATTGCACATTTCTTCAGTTATCCAAACAGTGGCGAGTACATTGAAAGCTTGCCCGAGTTGTTGGAAGCTGTTCAGCCACCTCCCTACAGCCGCATTAATGATCTTCTGTTCGATCACCTCTCGCCTGATCTTATCAAACCTATCAAGCAAGTAAGTGTCCAGTGTGTATGTGTTTGTGTGCTTTAAAAATGAACGGCCTTCTACATACGAAACGATCGCCGGGGCGTGCGGGTGGCACGTGTAGACGACTTGGATGGTTTTGTCCGAGTTCGCTTCCGGTCGTATTATCTATCAATTTAACAAAGCTAAGAGTACCGCTTAAACCACAAGTAAAAAAGTGAATTGGGTTCTCCTAATCAGACATCCAAACCGACCACCTGTTGAAGGCATCCTCAACTAAAGAATTTGCATACTTATGCAACACTGGAATACCCGCATCTACACGCATATATATATATATCTATATATATTCACCTGATTATTCTCTGGAGTTCATATACCGAAAACTGCTAGAAAACGCTGGGGGTCCCACTGAAGAGCCGAACCCCTCGCAGCTGCGTCACGCAGCGGCAGAATATCGGCGAAACACGTGCCTGGGCTTTTCGCAAGTATCTAGGTCGGGAGTACGGTATAATACCTTTATTATATATATATATATATATATATATATATATATATATGATGAAAGAAGAAAGTCCGTCGGAAATAGAGTTTTACTCGTAAATTTTCGAGCTGGTTGCACCAACCCGTCGTCAGACAAAGTGAAAAGTGGGAGGTGGCATTGTCACACTGCTGGTTGAGGACGCAGACAGAGAGGTAAGCAGACGACCTTGAGAGAGGGAGGTGTGCAATGTGTTGTGATAGGTGCGGGAGGTGAGGATAGGTGTTGTGGGTCCAAGCTGTGGCTCACCGTGTTGGGGGAGGGAGGGGGAGT